ATCAGTCTCCCCATAACTCTTGGCAAGAAAGCAAACAAGTACATTTCTGGAAATGTCAAACTTTTTTTTTCTTCTGGGCCACACATGGTCAGTACAATCCAATCTTACCTGAGGCAAAGCTGCCCATAACACTGTGTCAAAGCGTTGTAAAAGCCATTCAAAAGCCCACATGATGTCAGGTGTATGACTGATCAGCAAAAATCTGGTGCACACAAACCAAGTGGAGTTTTTCAGGTTCTTTTGGAACCTCAAAAAATAAAAACTTTCAGGCTTGAAAATCATTTGTGAATGAAGGAGCACTTTAACAGCGCCATAAAAAAGGGAAGACTAGTTGTCAGCACTGCTGTATGAACATAAACAGCTCATTTAACATTCAGATGCTGCTCTCAGCTTGTTACAGCTTAAAACCTGACTGGCTTGTCACCTCAAAGACACAATTTTAAACTGTTTTTTCTTCTCCGATTACACACCAGCTGTTGCGAGAGGATACCAAGAGATCCGTGTATATAAATGAAAGCCGGCTCACAAAACAGTGACAGCCAGCTGACTGATGGATGAATGGTTGGCTGGTTCAGTCATTGACCAGTGGGATCAATGGGTGATGGGGGAAAGGAAGAGAGCATTTAGGGCCAGCGTGCGTCTCTCTTTTCCACTATTTCTGGAGCTGCGCCGTGAAATTATCCAGGTGTGAATCTCTACGGCACTTTGCGTCATCCAGTGATCATCCCTGATTTACACATTTAAAAACTGAAGTGAAAAAAACAACTAACCTGGAAAAAAAAATCACAAAAAAGATGACAAAACGAAGCTGTGTGACACATTCAGGTGCACACGTCCGCGTGTAAATCACGGGATCTGAAGTGGGCTAACTCCTAGGTAAGTTTCCGTCACTGACGTCACTGCTTGCGCACGTGTCAGGTAATCGCGGTGAGCTTTTTGACAGAGGTGGGGGGATATTGTGTGATTTCCTGCATGGTTATGAATCATTTGGTCCCCCCACGAACTCCGGAGCAGCTGACTACACCTCCAGACCTCCAGAGAGAATGCTTAATGCGTTCAAGCGATGCGCGACGCAAATGCACTCCCTCCCTCCCTTACCTCTCCTTTCAGACGCGCTGTCTGCGGACTCTTTATTTGTCCACGGTGAGCTACACACTCTATTTCCCCTACCTCCTATCGACTGACGCGCGCACACGGGCGCACACGCACAAAAAGGCTGGGGGAGTTAGAAAAGCCTGGTGACAATAATTAGACTCAAGGCTTCATCCATTGTCCACAACCTGCTGCGTTTCTATTCTCCCTAATTAGGCAATGCACACAAAAGTTAGAGGAGAAAAACAACCACGCCGCGCACACTGTGACTTCAAATTATTCGCCAGCATATGGAGGACTTGGAGCTGCGATATCATCGGTGGCGGATTGCAGGCGGTGAGGAAGAGAGGAGGAGGGGGGGTTGACTGTAAAATCTGCAGGTAGCTCGAGAAACGCTGCCGGGGAACTTTCTAATGATGCCCGGAGAAGGGTGGGGGGGGGGTTAAGAGATATAAGAATAGTATATGTTTAAAAAAGAAACAACAGTCTCTTCAGGTCTCAGTGAGAAACTGTGATATTCGTTTTGCGGTTAATGGTTTGAGGTGACAGCTGAATAAAAGTTTCAGTCATAAACAGACAGTCTGATGTCAAATATAAGCGTGACCTGACTCCAGGCATTTCTTTCATTAAGTGTAAGCGTCAAGTTTGGCGCGCATCATTAACAGCTGATTCACAATAAACCAGCGGACTTTTTGCTCCGGTGGTGTGGCGATCCGTATCGGCGCTGAGGGCGACTTGTTAAATAAAGACAAATGATGAATCCTGTTGACATTGGCTTCTGGGAGAAGCTTGTAAAACATTTCCTTCAACCTATCACATTAAACTCATCAGCTTTTTTCCCTTCATCATTTAATCACTAAACAGATCCAAATAACTGGCTTCTTCCCGGACTCTGTTTGAGCACAGTAGCCTATCTGCGGTACCAGCATATGCTCTGCAGTCACACAGAAGCTCCCAGGTTCACCCTGCTATAACTTGATCCTATACAAAGATGACATCCCAACTTTCAGCACACTTCAACAAAGTGTGATTCCCCCCTCCATCCAACCCCTCCTCCCTCCTTTTCTATGTATCTGCATATTTGCAAACACGGGCCCATTTTATTCGCACCTACCAAAGCAGATCCGAGCAGAGGGGAGGGCTCCCACAGTCCGAGCGGTCCGTCTCTCAGCCTGCCGTGCAGAATGGTGACAAAAAAAAAGAAGAGGGCAGGGGGAGGCAAAAAAGCTTCTTCTCCGAGAACACAATCCTACAGAGTGCCTCTCTGTTAATGGTAAATGTGAAAAGAAAAAAAAATATTCACCGTCAGTTATTTCGGAAAAGCGTACTTTCTCAGAGGCTGAACGCGTGGGTTCCCAGAGCTTTCTCGGTCCTTGCAATCCCACCTCTACATCCCCGCTTGCGGAGAGGAACATGCAAACACATTTCATAGATTTTTGGAGCTTCGCGGAAAAACCGACCTGGACTTTTCGGCGGTGCGCGCACTTCAGCCGAAGCAACAACAAAACGAAAGCGAGGGTTTGGTGTGATTTCAGGACAACTGTGGAGAGAGAGCTGTGTCAAAAATAAATAAACACAGCTGACAGCACCAATCTACGCGACTGATTACTTGCTGTGTTTATCCTGTCTTCAGATACTCGGTATTGGCTATGATAGTATTCCGACATCATAACAATTATTATTTGCTTTTTGCCCAAACAGCAGAGACACGTGGGCTTAATTGTGGGATTTAAAGAGTGATCTCTGTTATCACGAAGGATAACAGAGGTAGCTGAGAATAAACGGGGTTAACCTCAGTTCACCAGTGTATTTATTTGGAGGTTGTGCAGGACTGACGCTGACATAAATCAGTCTCATCCCCGGTTGCTCTTCCTTTCCCTCAGCTCCAGAGTCCAGTCCGCCTTTTTCGACTGTCCTGTCTGCTGGCAGGCGGCCAACCCAAGTGTGTGGAAATGACACCGCCAGGGCGGCAGAGATTTTCCTTCATTTCTCTCCTTCCCGATCGCAGACTGGCTGACATTGGCTAGAAAGTGGAGCAGCTCGTCAGGGACAATCAATGCGAATCGATCGAGCTTTGCGGTTGAGGCTCCAGAGCTGGAAAATATCGCGGCAGCTGAAGAGAGGGAGAGGGAGGGAGGGAGAGGAGAGGAGGGGGTATTCGACTAACTCTGCCCGTAGCCAGCCAACCTCCCTGCAAACAAATAACGCTACGGCTTTCATAAACATGACACTCACTTCGTAAACACTGAAGTCAAAAAGCCGACACATGCGTAATTACGCACGGTATTTGTGCTCTAAACTCGGTCACAATAAAGGTGTCCACCCACAGGCTAGTCCATATTCTGTGCGTGCGAAAACATTGACAATAAGGACTTTGTTGAAGTTTTTGCGCTTCTTTCCACAGTACTTGCCTCGTGATGAAATGACTCTGACGTGAATACTTCCGAAACACATTTCTCCGAGCAGGAAACACTTGAAATAAAATGCCAGGAAACGATTGGCTCCTTTAAAAAAAAGAAAATCTGTTTAAAAGAGCGTCTCACTTTGCATTCTAACTCCTCATAAATTAAATTAAATCCCCTTCAAGAAGTGTTGGGTGACGTGTGCGTGTCTGTGTGTTATTTTGACATTAACAGCGTCTCCACTTCAGCAAAGAAATATTAATGCAGCGGGGATTCACCCTAATGTGACTTGGGATTAATATAATTAAAGGCATCTTTAATACATTCCGCTTTTAGTCACTTTCAAAACTACAATGGATCTACTGTGGACACCTGGAAGCGGCACTTAAACACCACATGTAATCATTTTGCCCAGTACTCACCAAATTTAATTGCAGACACATTTCAACACACGTTTTCTGGTGACATGGGGATTCAAATATATATAAAATTATATATTTACACTATATTTTTTACGTTCTGCCTTTTTACACCCCTTATTGCTTTTGAGTTTAGTCATTGAAAGATTATCCCCTCTTTTGAACATGAACAATTCATCAAAGCAAGCAACATGGTTCAGATCGAGAACTCAAGGCTGTAGCTATGGTGGCAAAAAAAAAAATCCAGATCTGGGTGTCTATCTTCTCTGAGGCTGCCCAAAAATGAACTGAATATCCACTGTTCCACATGATCATGATTGCACTCACAGTGAATGAAAGTTGGCTTCAATAAACCTGCTTACACTTTGATTAAACACGTGATAGTTATACTGTAGCTACACTCGAGGAGTAGACATTAAATTAAAGAGAGGCCGTTGCTTTCTTCATAAATTATGGTGTTTATGTATACAGCATTAATGACTCCTTACTCAGACATGTGTTTTTTTATGACTAACAAAATGTAATGCAGATATAAATGTTAGATGAATATACATGTGAGCACGTGAACGTGTGGCTAATTAACTTTCCAGATAACTTAGATATGATATGGTTCATTAATGTCCACATTTACAGTTCCATTTTAAAACAACTGATTAGAGCTTCACTTTTCTACATTTTCTGCATTCAGGGTTTCAGACTATGTCACTGCTATTCTACATTCACGTAGGATAAAATGAAGCGACCATGTTCTTGGACTCTTTTGTAGCATACGTCCTTCACTTTTAACCTTCTAAAGTCCTCTATTTGTGTCCGGAAAAGGCTGGATCGTTACACGGCAGCCCGCAATCATACGTGCTTTTCCCGGGTTGAAAAGAGGATGAAAGAGAGAAAGCATGGGTTAGGAGAGTCATGCATGGATAGATGGGTAGGAGTGAGCAGCAAGCTGTGACTCTTGGACATGTTCTGGTGGGTGCACTGAACCCCGGAGGCTGCAGCCACACTCAGCCCTTTGTTGTTTTCACTCTGCACAGGGAGGCCGGGTACTTTCCTGAGCTGGGGTGGAGGATTAGCGTTGCATGGCCTCCATCTCCAGCTGCACACATGACCAGCGCTGTAGGAAAGCCCCCAGTGATGGCCCAGAAAGAGGTACGTAAGTGATGACGGGAGCAAGCAAAGCATGAACATCAGCTTTTTCCAATTACAAGCCCTGTAAACTGCCTAAATAATCATTGTAACGCTCTTCACACATGCCACCTACGGTATTTCTGAAAGACTGGCTTCGTGTCGAGTGTCTCTCCCATGTTACCATATACAAGTTTTTCTTTTTTCTCTCAGATATGGATTCTTTAACCTCTCACCTATATCCACATCAATACATGTAATTATGCCACCTAATAATCGCAGTTCACATTAGTCGTAAAAGCACACTTTCATGTCTCCATGGGACCCACTGGAAACAAAGCTCTCTCATACTGACTGGTCTTTGGTGCCAGGTGACGTCACTTAAAATACCACAGATCATCTGTCACCAGAACTAACCAGTTGTTAGAGCGGAGTGTTCCAATAGCTCTTTCTTTTCCCTTGCCAGGAAGTGGAAATGCTTTGAATTATTGTTGTTTTTTTCCAGTTGTTTGGTTTTTCTCACACATGCAAGCAGCTGTAAAATGTCACAGACTACTTTATCTATTTAGTAAAAACTCCTATGTGTCAATTGCAGTGTGCCCCTTATCTCTATGCACTAGCTTCAACAGGCCTGGAGTCCTATCAGAGACTCCAAGAAGTCACTACAGCCATGGTGACAAGCAGTTCTCGCTGCCAACTCTTCTTGTTGTTTATCAGTTACAAATGTTTAATTAGTGAGTCGCGGAGATGCAGGTTGGCATATTTTGGGGGCTCGGAGAAAGACAGGTTGGTGGTTTCCCTCTTTCTTCTTGCTCCTGATCGTTGTGTTGAACTAAACTAAGTGCCTTCGGGCTCTGGCTCAAGAGCTGACGCACAAAACAACTCTTGAGCCAGAGCCTGTGGTGTCAACATACTCATGTAATTCATGGTTAAAAAAAACACCCTAGTGACTATTGGTCAGAGATTTTTTAAGGCACTCCTAAGGCATAATTAAACATTTTTATTTATAGTGGTACTGTGGTTTTAGAAAATGGAAGTGAGGAAGTTTAGCCAAATTAAAGGCTAGTTTTTGGAGCATTACATATGGATGACACAGCTTTTCTATCAGAAATAAAACAACATGTATATGTATGTATATATTTACACAAGTATTTCTTTAAACTATTTGGGATGACACTGAGAGAGACAGAGACAGGGGAATCAGCATTTTATTAAACTTGGGAATCAATAGTATTTATGAAGCAAGGCAAGTTTATGATCCGTATGAGTCACATGCAGCATGGCTTGTGATTTGATGAACTGTCTGTGTGGTGACATGACCAAAGATGCTTAAACTCCAGCAACATTTGTAGTACACTGAAAACTTTATTGTACTTTTACAATATATAATGTCTGAGATGTTGATAAATAGACCCCTTTTTGGTAATTTCCCCTTCTCCTCCCTGCATTTTGATAGTAGTGCCAGAAAGCCCTAGTGATGTGATTGTGAGAAAATGACTTAGAGCAAGTTATGTGGGAGCTTACAGCTGGATAAACTCCAGGACATAATGCAGCTCCTTTCACTGTACCGTTTTCTCCTACTGTTGCGCCAGGACAGCACGCCAGTAAAAATAATATTTAGGTTCTGCACGTCCAAGGATATGTCATTACAAGACCGTGTAATGTTTTTAGGCAGTAAATCGGGATTGGCATTAAGTTTCTGAAAAAGTATTTTTCATTTTGGTGTTTTTTTTTTTATTTGTTACTTTTTTGTGTTTAAGTGAAGCAAAAACAGGAACATTGGCAGAAAACCGTCTCCACTCTGTTTTTTTCTGTCCTGGTAATAATGACAACTCTAAGGACACACCATGTGCAAATCCAACATGCAGTGGACCGACTTTTGAAAAAAAAATTCAGATTCTAATGTGGTATGGATTTTGTGTGAAGTGTTTTCCTGTCCCACTGAATAGGCCTAAATCAGTCACACCTTGTGTGAGCCTGACAGCTGCAAAGGCTTTCTGCTTGATGAGCAACACTTGTTCCATTTCTAGAGATTTATTACTCATCCTTCCACTCATCACATGTTCTGCCTCATCTGTCAGCGAGGAAGTGCCTCTGTTGTCTTGACTGACAGTTTTAGGACAAAAAAGCATGACAAAATCACATCAACAACTGTTTAGCTTGTGCCACTAAATAAGCGGTGTCACTGCCTTCTCAAATTATCACGTCTCATAATGCAAAGCAGCAAATGCTGCCCCTCATGTAACAGTACCAGAGAACCAGCTGTTGCTGCTGCTGCTGCAGTTAAAATAAAGGTTAGAGCTCCATCTAGTGGTAAGTCTTCAGAGTGACGACTGTATAAGCAACCATAAAGTTTCACGTCTAAACCAAATAAAACTTGTCTTGGACAGAGATTGGCATCAACATCCATCCAGCTCAAAATGTTATGAATCAAAATGACATCTGTGAACTCTGTTTCTCTGTTT